ATCCCCCCAGCTTCTTCGACGAGGTCGAGCGGATATCCGACCCCAACTACATACCCATCGAGTCCGACGTCCTCCGCGCCCGAACAAAGACGACGGGTATTTACGAGACACGATTTACAATGGGCCAGCTCAGCATACAGTACGTGCGCCGCTTCAAACTGTCACCGAGCCGCGCCTTTGCTAACTTGAAACAGCATGTTCGACGTGGGCGGCCAACGGAGCGAGCGCAAGAAATGGATACACTGTTTCGAAAACGTCACATCAATCATCTTTTGCGTAGCCTTGAGCGAATACGACCAAGTCCTGTTAGAAGAAAGCTCACAGGTGCGCTCCCCACGCAATTCAATCCTTCACCACTAACGCAAAACAGAACCGAATGATGGAGAGCTTAGTGCTTTTCGACTCGGTCGTAAATAGCCGGTGGTTCATGAGAACGAGTATTATCCTGTTCTTAAACAAGGTCGATCTGTTCAAGGCCAAGCTGGCGCGATCGCCCCTCGGCAACTACTTTCCAGATTACTCCGGTGGCAACGATGTAAATCGCGCTGCCAAGTACTTGTTGTGGAGATTCAATCAGGTCAACCGCGCCCACCTGAACTTGTATCCTCAGTAAGCAGCCTTCCTTGGCGCCCCACCTGCCAATTGCTAACACAGTCAGCCTCACCCAAGCCACCGACACCTCCCACATCCGACTCGTATTCGCGGCCGTCAAGGAAACCATTCTCCAGAACGCGCTCAAAGATTCCGGCATTCTATGATCCCCTTCACACCACATTGGACATATTTCCTCAGACCATTAGGCATACGGCCGATGAGTGCATTACAGTACTTCGACTTTCAACTCCGCATACCGCTTCCTCCACCTATATTTACATAATACACGAGCCCTTTACGATCATTACCCCGACCGTGCTACTCATGATGCACACTCTTGGTCACGAATTGGGATTTGGGAGATATCATTGCCTCTAGCTATTTCACATAGAGAGCGCAGCATTGGTGTTTTTGGCGTTTAAAGATTCCCTGGGTCTTTTTGCTTTTTGTTTGTTGTGGTCAGTCATGCACGGCAACACAACAACTTGGGAAGTCGGTTTTTCTTTGGGTTGTTGCGACTTTTTTTCTTCTTTTTCTGCACCAACACCCGAAACCCACCGAACTTTTCGGTTTTTTCTTTTCTGTTTTGGTCTTCTCTCTCTCTCTCTCTCTCTATTTATCTATATCATATGGGCGGAAGAAAAAGTTGGATTGGTTATCCCGCCTCACTCCTCCTATTTTACTTACAACTACAAAACGGGGTTTCGCCCGTTGTTGGCTCAGAGGGCGTACTTTTGTAAAGCTATAGTCTCTCTTTTACGATGCGTGTTTGTCTGTGTATGTGTGTATGTGTGTGTCGTGTCGTGTCTTCCTATTCTTTGTTTCTCCTCCCTCCCCCAACATTATGGTCTGTTTTAAGTAGAAGACGCGTGTGCGGGAAAGAGAGAGAGAGAGCTGATAACTTGTTATACTACTACTACCTACTACCTTATCGACAATGAACAGAGAGAGAAACTTTTGCGACGGTCTTACTTCTTTTATTTTATTTTTCTTTTCTCATGTCCCCGAAGCGTTCGCGCAGATTGTAATGTACGCACCACCGCCCTGCTGTTGTCGCAAAATAAACAACATACACTCAGATACTAGTCAATATATTGAATATATAAAATGGAAATGCGGATTCTTGCCTCGTTATTAACTGATTAGGAGTGATATGTGCGAATGTATTCTACGGCATATTTTTACCTTACAACCTTATCACGCAAGTCTATATATACAGACTATTCTACTCACGCGCCCTTGCTACCTTCCTATCTTCCTTGCTCTTCCAGCCCATCGAACGGAAATCCGGATCTAGCCCACCAGCACATCTGTTTCCCGATCTGCCTACCTATCTGCATACATTTCCACACCGCTACTCTAGGAAATCACATACGCGTAGCCTAATATGTGTAGCGTATATATCAGACTCCGCAACAATCAATCGGATCGGCATGATTGATTCCTATCTAGGTTAAAGGCTGCCTAATAAAGTAACTCTTTAACCTATATAGGAATCAATCATGTCGATCGATTGATTGTTGCGGAGTCTGGTATATATGTGGTGTACACACCTTTCATACACACGTATACATTAGTAATGCAACAGTAGATACCAAAACTTAACCATGGGTTCGTTTTGTGTCGTTTAGTATTATTTCGTCGATATAGATAACCAAAAAAAAATGACGACGACGACGATGAAGCAGCGGAATAAATCTCAACACTAAACCCCCACCTCACCGTATCTACCCCCCTTTTCTCACTCGGATACCCCAGCGTATGCTGAGCTAAACTAACAACGGAGTAATGCGCAGATCGCGTGAAAATCAACAATGGCAGTTGAAGATAGTCAACGGCAGGTGCAAATTTCGTCCTTGGGTAAAAGGGGGCGGGGTCCCATGTGGGAAAACGGCAGTTAGCAGTAACTTTGTCGGGAAATGAGAAATGTATAAACGACAAAAAAATAGCCTTTGCACTTGTCTTGTCCGTCTGCGGGGAAGGCGTGGATGCGGGATGCGGGATGGGAACTATCAACGTCCGAGTCCGAATATCCGGGACGGTAGTTTTGGTCTTGAGGCTGGGGGTGGGGGGTAGGGGAATGTGGCTGTGTGTACGTGTAGTGTGTAGTGTGTAGATGGGTGGTATGGTATATGTGTAACGGATTTTTGGGATATAGGGTGTGTGCGCGTTTGCGGTTAATTGATTACTTTGTGCTGTGTTGTGTTGTGTTGAGTAGATTGACGGGTTGTTGGATGTATATGGGGAGAATAGGAAGGAAAGGGGGTGGTGCTGGAGGACTTGTACGCTATGCGAGGAGAGTGAAGGTGAGGAGACTAAGAAGGAGATATGTGTTGGTGCTAGGGACTGTGCGAGGCTGGTGGTTGAAATTGGTGGATAACAGATAGGTGGAGTACGAAAGCCGTATGCGGAATTAGTTATAAAGTGTATCTACCGCTTTTTTCGCTTGTGTTACTGGAATCTTGTGTTTGGATTGATTCGGGGTTAAGACGGGGAAGGGAAGAAGAGGGCAGACGAGTTGTAGTTAGAGAGAAGGTGTTAATTCTATTGATAGTATTTAATTGTAGGGTAAAGAACTCAGGTAGGATGTCATGCTATTTAGCTATATGTAGGTGTTTGTGGGGAGTAATTTGCATGTCTAGGAATGATGGGATTTTGCTGCATGATCCTGTGTAGTAAGTCGATAGTAGTGTTAATAAACCTTCCATGCTTTCTTTTCTCCAACTTCCTACTCCCATACACTCTCCACTCTACAGTACTCACTCCAAACACAATCCTCCCATTCTACAATCCCCATCTCCCCATCCCTCCCAACAGCAACACCACCGCAAAACACTAGCTTACGAACCAACCCTCCTAAGATCTCCCATCTAACCTCCCATTCTACCAACCTACATCCGTGCTCCGCTATCACATCCCCTCAACGTTCCAGACCTAGACACACATACCCCCACAGCACAAATACCGTACAATGTACACCCCCCCCAAACCAACATAAAACACAACCCAACACAACAACACCCACGTGCCCCCCTCCGCCCCACCCCCCACGTCGCACAAAGATTTAAAATTTGCCAATCGTGAACAAGGTTTCTGCGCCAAGGCGCCAAGATATTGCTGCGCGCGGAGGAAGGGATCGTCACGGAGGGACTGGTCACATGGGGTGTTGTTGTTGAAGGCAGGTAGGTAACTTGGCTATGTAACCTTAGGAAGGATGGGTGAGGTGAGGTGGAAATGGGCTTTTTGCATTAATTATCCGAACCGACGAACCAGCATGCATCATCGTACAGTAGAAACAAACCTAGTCAGGCACAACTCACAACATCAACGGAGAGGCGTCGTTCGTTCGTTCGTCCCTCCCTCCCTCCATCGCGCCGCCACCGGGAGCGGGAGGAACCGGGAACCCTTCTTCCCTCCGGCAAAACCACCCTTTTTGCCACCCATACCTTACTGCCCACCCTACCTTAGCACGTACCAAAGTTCCGCCAAAGTAACCACCACCCAAGCACTAACTAGCGCTTACTACTTAGACTCCGCCATCCAAAAAACCCCCAAAAAAACCAAGGGCTCACTTCTCAAAAAGAAAGACAGGAAAAGCCAAGATACAAGATACCCTAACCAAGGCCTTGGTATCTTCTACATAACGCGTCGGACGCTGAAACGATCGGCGGTGGCGGCGGCGGCGCGTGGGGAAAGAGGGAGGGATTGGCGGATTGGAGAGGGAGGCGTGTTCTGGTGGGCAGTGCACACGCCGCGCGCGCCCCTTTTTTTATGCAGATGTGGCTGGGCTCCGCGGTTTAGAGTTTTTGAGGTCTGGCGGGAGGGGATGGGTGCGGAGGGTGAGCGGAGAGGGGAGGGGGAATGCGCTGGCGGGTTGGTCATGCGCAAAGTATGTTGGGGAAGGAGGGGGGTCTTTGCGGTGATGGTGATGGTGATGGATGGTTGTTGTTGTTTGTGGATTTGAAAAGTCAGGTAGGGTCAGCTTGAGATTTGAGATGCGTGTGAGTCGCAAGTTGGGTTATTTGGTTGGGGTTTATGTGGGCCAAAAGGCGGGTCACAAGATGAAAAATGATGACAGTGCAGAGAATTCAAAATGTCGTATCAGATTGTGTGAAAATGCCTTCACTAACTGCCCATGACCCATGACCTAGGCTGGCAAATTTGTCCCTGTTCCTATTGCTGTTCCCTTGACCAAAAACGCCTGTTCCATGCCGCTCTGCCCTACTCCCTCTGTTGAAAGCCTCGAGGGTTCTTTCTTGTGGTATATCGACTGTTGAATAGAACAACTCAAAGGAAATTGTTATCGTGACATCGTGAAGCCCGCTTTTATCGCGTTCTTGTCTGCACAAACTCTAGTGCTTGTTGGACAGGAAAGTGTGCTTCTCAAACGACATGCGCCTCTTCCTCTCGGCCACACTCATCTCCGAAACATTGTTCGGCGGAATCTCGTACTTTGCGTTAACCGCCAGAGGAGCGAAAATCTTCGGGCCAAGGATTTGTCTAGACGGGGTCAGCAATGTTGGGTGCAAGGTTCGTATAGAGGTGTTGGACTTACGAATCGGCAGGGCTGGTGCGGGGAGAAGATGGCGCGCTGATAGTGCTAGCTTCTGAGGGCGGGGCTCCAAAGCTGGAGAGTGATGATACTGATTCATGGCGGTGGGATCGGTTGGAAAGAAACCCGTGAGCAGGCATGACGGACTCAGTGGGAGATGACTCGACGGCAACGGCTTGCTTGACAGGTGTGTTGACGGCGAGAAAGGTCTTGGGGAAGGGAATGTGGTAGGCTGAGCTAGTGGAAGACATTGCGCCAGGATGGATGTGTTTGTTATTGATGGTGGGGTGATTGGCCTTTGGCTTGGAGTGAAAGTTGTTGAAAAGGTTGATTGATCGGAAAGTGTTGTTGGTGTTCTGGAGACTGGAAGGGGCAGTAGGCAGACCTTATATGTGAAGCAGAGATTGGTTAGCAGCAATTGTGCAAGTCTTCAGGCCTGGTGTTGTGCGTGGGTCACGTAGCGCTGCCGAGGGGTCCGCTGGGGCAAGCGTGCATGAAGGGACCTCTGTAACTGGCTGGAGCGTATGGTGGTCTATCAAAAGCAAGGGTGACGCTTGCACCGTCCCCGCTTGTCGACCGTGGTTAGTGATTCAACTGTGGATAAGCCCGCTAGCATGAAAGATCCGGAACCGAAAAGCCTGGGGTTGCAGCGCGGGATGTCGCAGATGCTTCCGCACGCTGTGTCTTGGCCGTGGAGCTTTGATTGACCCCGCCCTGTCGATCGTATTGGTCCGGTGCGCTAGTGATCTTCCGGTGTAGATGGCGCCCTGGACTGATAAGACTACTAGGAGCACGTGCTTGTTTCGACTGCGTAAGCGTCTTGTCAAGAGTACGTGTATGATCGTCGTGTATTCTGAGGCCGATTACCAACTCAAACATGCTTGGCGGCTCCCGTCCGCAAGTCGAAATGCGGTTCTGCAGTGGGCGGAACCTAGGGAGTCTGTGTGTCTAGGTTCCAGATTTGGTTTGGGAACGTTGAGACAGGATAAGCTCGCTTGGCAGTCTCGATGTTTGGGACTTTGGGCGACTACTAAAGACAGCTTGGCAAAAGGTCAAGCTGTTTCGCGCGGCAGAGTGGAGAGTCGATGGTACGCAGTGAGAGGGAAACAAGTAGCGCCCAGTGGACACTGCTTAATTTAACAGGGGGAAATGGTCTCGTCGGTAACATTTCAACTCCGGACTACGTCGTAGTGCACCTTGTCCGCGGCTACCGGACGACCGACGGATTTGTAATGTCAAGGGGGAGAAGGCCGAGGGGGCGAAGAATTTGGCCTCTAAGAAACGTCAAAAACTGTGGAAAAATGGGATGCGAAATCTCAGCATGCAAACCTGCTCTCTGCAAGCTTGTCAAGGCCTTGCGGGTCCTCCAGTCCTCCATCGCTGCAGGCACACGCTAGACGATGAGACGAGTGGAGTAAAGGCCAGTAAAATCCACCATACTGCTGTAGCTAGAAGGTCTGCGGTTAGGACTCGTGGGCATGTTTCTGATCAAGCAATAGCTGCATCTGCATGGAGTATGCATGGGGTAAGAGCATGACGCGCCTCCTACACGACACAGACGAAGCTTGTGCTATAGGCTCGATTTCTCGGCGCTCCCGCAGGCTGCTGAATATACAGTAAGCTCGCATGAGATTGTCCGTCCGGTGGTGAAGCGCGTGCCTCGTATCATGTGGAGGAAAGGAAAAGGCTGCAGGCGGATCCGCCCTTGTGTGTGCAGAATTAAGCCGAAGGAAGCCTACAAGCTTGAAAATTGTAGTTGTATGGCTTGCGTCATGGTGTGATAAACAGACGATGAGGGGCTCATGGTGGAGAGAGACGTGATCACAAAATCTTCCGACGCCTAGATTCGGCGAACGAGGTTATCTTATCTCCGCGTGCATGTAAGCGAGTTCCTCTTGTCTGCCACTCACCTCAATCACTCCACACCTTCTCAACACGACTTCCTCGACGATTCCAGATTCAGTCAATTGATAAGACACTGCCTCTGAGATTCGTATGCTGCTCTAGTGGCCACCTGTCCGTATCCACCGACTTTACGCCGAATTGTGCAGTGCCCATCTCTGCTCACATGTCGACATCTGACGTGGGCAAGATCTTCAAGGCGCAGGGGTAACGGTGTGGCGAGAATCCCATTCATTGGAGCAAAGAAAATCAACTCTCATTTTCCAAGGCAATGGGCATCTTCAATTACGTGCTCAGAGGTGGGAAAAACTTGGCCCCTCGGCGTTGCGCGGCAGAGCTACAAGTTTAGCCATGGTGTCGTGCATAATTAGCAAGACGTCGTTACGATCCTCCCTGCCAAGCTGTCAGTCGCCGATCCCATATTACAGTCTTGTCTTTCACTATCATGTTGATATACAGTCATTATGAAGCATGAGCATCGATCAAAGGGAGCTGCACAGCCTCGACACCAAGGACAGGATCACCCTCTCAACCTCCCCAAATGCGCTAGTACAAAATGCGACAATACGTGTGCGGACATAACACTGGCTAAACTCGCCATTCATGAAACTGATACAAGCAATGGTTAGTGCTCCAAACTAATCTACATACACGGTAGGTCTCTCGGTAAAGATCTTAGATGAACGAACGACCAAGTCTAGCTAGGTAGGTACCTCGGTCAGCCTACTCGGTCCACTTTCTAGAAGCATAGCGACCTGCCATACCTACGCGATGCGGAGTCGCTGAATGTAGCGGCGGTACCCAGCGGGAGATGCGCACTAAGACCATAATGGAACGAGCGGTGTGAATAGATCCGACTCGGCCCATGGTCAAAGTGGGGAACCCCACACTATAGTGTGGGGGGAGCTTCCGGTGAATGGTATGGAGTATTAAAACCGCCTTCTCCAGGCGTTGTCACATGCCTAATTTGCTTTGAGGAATGTGGCGTAATGTACCGAATAGATTATTGGCAGAGAAATGTTGGAAGTGGACTTTCCACGTTGCAGAAGACGAAAGCGTGCTCCAATGGCTCAACACAGCGGTAGACTAAGCCTCAGCTTCGTTAGTATCTCGTGGTAGAGATCCCGCAGCATGTGTCAGATGTACTCGCTAAAATATCGTAGAAGCGCTTAGTTCGTGGTAAACCATCGGTGCCTTATGGTTGCAAGGAGTATCCTACATGTCCCGTGTTCCGTGCGGCCCCCGTCCGTGACTTTTGTCAGCATGCATGAACGCAATCGCCGCGTGTGCGTGCTAAGTAGATGGCTTGTTTGACGTTTGCTCGAGAAGCACTGTTGAGACCCGCACGTCGTAAAACCGGGAGGCAGGTCTGACACCAGTCATCTGTTTTGTAGCTGCTACGAAGCAGTCACACCTGTTCCCGCTAAACGGGTGGTAAATGTGGAATAGCGAAAGCCACTGTGACCCTGGAATATGAGGCGATAACAGCTAGTAGATAGTAGCACGATGCATTATTATTCTCATGCTCCTCGTTGCTGTTGTCGTGGATTGCCAAGGGCTCAAGCGAGTACATGTGTTCATCGCATCCACGACAAGCGCAGCATGTTTTGTGGCCAAGTCTTTTTGGTGAACTGTCAATTCCTTTTCCATTGCTATTGACATTTGCCCGGGACGTTCCAGACCTACTGTCTTCCGCGGCCCGTTGCGCTGCGTTCTTTACTGAGTCACTTCGCCAAGTTAGCGCGGGAGTGGTGCATAGCCAGTTACGTCGCTCACCGGATGGATCAAGAGAAGCCTAACCGCGGAGAAACGTGTAGTAAGAACGGCTATACCCGATTGTAGGTTGTCATGAGCGACTTTACAGTTGTGGTGAGTGACACAATCTGCCACAGATGTGAGCGATATTACACACCGACGCTAGCTTCTGTAACCATGACAATAATATTTGGACTATATAATACAAATGTTTACTAGCACTTTGACCATTATGATATTTCTCTGACGTCCACACATTTTCATTCCTTCATGCTTTCCATTGCATGGAGAGACTGAAAAGAAGCGCCCCTGATTTATCCTGGTTCGGCCACGCTTGAAGTTGATAATGTAAGTGTTGCAAGCATCTCCCGCTATAGAAACAGAATTAACTTGATATTAACAACGAAATATCACTACATCATCCACGGAGCTGATCGGTAGGATTGTTTCCTCGTGAAACAAGACCCCCATCTCACCACCTAACTCATAACTTATCCAATACCTAAATATCCACCTCTACTCCCCCTTACCTCCCCCCTCCCCAAAAGCAAACACCCTCCAATTCCTCCCCAAGATCTCCACACCCTTCTCCAACCCCCACCCTTTGATCTTACAAATCCTCCTCACCATATCCTCCAACCGTCTATCCATTTCCTCTCCCGCAGTATGCAAATCGCTCTCCACCAACAACATGTGGTCGGGCACAGTCTTGATGAGTTCGACAAAGCTTGCCGGCGTCTCCTCGTCCGTTGCATCAGACAGATTGATGGCGGTGCTGAAGCTTGCAAAGATGTGCGCGGGGATGAAGGGATTAAGGTATTGTTTGAAGTTTGATATGTTTCCCGAGTAGGAGTGGAGGCATATGCGGGGTGGGTATGGTGGGGTTGTGGCGGGTGGGTTTTTCTTTGTAGTTTTGGCTGTGTTATGGTCGTTGGTGTCGTCCTTGGGGTCATCTTTGGCAGTATCTTTGTTATCTTCCTTGGTGTCGTCCTTGGCATCTTTGGTGTCGTCTTTGACGTCTTTTTTGGCATTTTCTTTGGAATCGTCTTTGGAATCGTCTGCGGCTTTAGCTTCGACTTTGGCTTTAGCCTTGGGATGTTCAAGTCTGCGTTTCTTTTGCTCGCGCTTGCTAAGGACCTCCTTCTCATGCCCTCTCCACAAATCCGACAAAACTTCCAACACCAACCCATGAGCTTGCACACCATGCACACTAACAGCCCTCCCCATCTCAGCCGCAAGTTGAAGTTGCAGCTTGAAAATCTTCTTCTGGTGCGTAGGCGTGGTCCGAAAAGGTGTCAGGCGGCGGCCTTCCCGGCCACCGGGTGTGAGGCCATTGTCCCGCTTAGACCAGAGATCCGGGTGGTCAGTCCAGGCTTCCGGGATTCTGAATGCGCGGTCAAGACCAATTTCGCCGACTAGAGCATAAGGGTACTTTTTCAGGTTTTCTCGTGTGCGGGATAGGAAGGCTGAGAAGGATATTGGGTCGGGTAGGGAGAGGTATTTTTGCCGGTCTTCTCCGCTGGGGGTTTCCCGGCTTGGTTGTAGGACGGATCGGTAGTGTGCGATCTTTGCTTCGCCTGTGAGGGGTTTGTGGTATTTGGTTTCTGCACCTTCTTCCTCTTCTTCTGTAAGGTACATTTGAGATGAGAACCATGGATGCCAACCAAAGCATGGGACGATACGCTCTTCTTTCGACCACTTTGCTGGGTCAGAGGACTTGACACCATGCTTGTGTGCTGTTGATGCGACGAGATCTTGATCTTCGGCCCGTGTTGCCATGACGGTGAGAACTCGCGCTTTCGTATTTTGCTGTATCGTCTCCATGCTGGACATTGTGTCTGTGGGGTGACAATGCGCATCGAAAACACCCAAGTGCCATGGGAAGGCTTCCTCTTTGTTTTCGGCCGCCATTATAAGTTGTCGATGGTTCTGGCTAGCGATATGAATGATGGTGTTTGGAATGCAATGGCTGCCGGCAAGTTATTCGGCGCACCAGGGTGGCGTAAAAATAGTTGCAGCGACAGCGTGAGGAAAACACGTTATTCAGAGTATAAGCGTATATGGTGTCTACAATTGCCTTTACATATCAGTGTGTCAAGTATTTTTTGTAACCCATGTGAGCGGTCGCGAAGGAAATCTACACTATGACGTAGCTGTGAGGCTACTCGGAACCTTGGAAGAACCCCTTTCGGGCATGGCGCTTTCTACCCTTGATCTGCAACATTACAAACCCAGCATCCGACTCTTCCGACCACCTAGGTGACATAATAGGCGTGCCTAGCGCATACAGTGACCTTTGTACACTGTTCATCCCACAAGCAGGGTCACCTGCTCCTCGACATATCATTACGCCCCATACTCCACCTCCAAATACCGACATCGGCTTCACCAACCGCCCTTCTCGAACAACACCACCATTTGCCGTTTCGGGCTTGGTATGCATGCATGCATACAAGGGCGTGTTACACACGCGCCAGTATCACCAGTACATTGTAGTAGTTTAGACAAAACAAGCTGCCTATTTAGGTAACCCGGTCAGCCTCGCGCTACCTACACGCGCACGCAACTGTGTGCTTTGCCAGGTCAGCATTACGCCCTGGAAGCAGAATAATGTTAGAATAGGGGGGGATATTATGTGATCTACCGTAGGTCTTGGGAAGGCTTGTGTACATGGGTGTACCAAGCTGCTACCCCTCTCTATACTGGGCAGTCATGGAGGGGAGGGTGTGTCTGGTATTTAAGTTGAAATTTCTTTCTTTCTGTCTTTCTCTCTCACTTGTCTTTTCTCTTCTCTTTTCAGGTTCTGGGCTTGATGTCAGCGTGATACAGCAAAACATTGAACCCTCCTCAAGCTCTATACAAGATACTTCTCCCACCCACCTATCCAACACACCCCCAAAATGCCCACACGTCTCCAGTCCAAAATCGCCATAATAACCGGCTCCTCCTCCGGCCTAGGCCGCGCCATAGCCCTAGCCTTCGCCTTGGAAGGCGCCACAATAATCTGCGCCGACCTACGTCCTGAAGCCCGTCCATGCCCATCCCTCTCACCCACTATATCCACCTCCGCCCCACTGCTGCCAACCCACGACCTCCTCGCCGCACAAGGCTTCACCGCAATCTTCATAACCTGCGACACCACCTCTAGTACGTCAATACAACACCTCATCGCAACCACAGTGTCGACGTACGGCCGCCTCGACATCATGGTTAACAACGCAGGCGTGGGTCTTGAGGGCGAGGGCGAGGGCGAGAAACCGGTTTGGGAGTACGATGAGCATGTGTTTGAGAGGACGATGGAGGTTAATATCAAAGGCGTTTTCTTGGGGACAAAGTATGCGAGTAGGCAAATGGTGAAGCAGGATCCTGTTGGTGAAGGTGAAGGTGGTAAGGGGGATAAGGGATGGATTATAAATTTGAGTAGTATATTTGGGTTGGTGGGGAAGGGGGGTCTTGGTATGTTCATCTTCTTCCTTTCCTATCCCTCTCCTATCCCTCTCCATCTCCCTCCACACCATCTACCCCATCATAACCAACCCCCACTCTAATCCCTCCCCCAAACAGCCGGTTACTCAGCCTCCAAACACGCCGTGCTAGGCATAACGAAATCAGCAGCTCTGGACTGCGCACCCCACAACATCCACGTCAACGCGCTTTGTCCGGGATACACGGCCACGGCGATTACCGCGCGCGTGTTTGAGCCACAGGCGGCCGAAGTGAAGAAAGTGGTGGATTCGCGGCATCCGCTCAAGGGCATGGGGGCACCGGAGGATGTGGCGAGAGCGGCGGTTTTCTTGGCGAGTGAGGATGCGGCGTGGGTGACGGGTGTGGGACTGCCTGTTGATGGGGGGTATAGTTGTGTGTGAATGGGAGGGGTGAGTGTGGGTTGGGGAGGTGGTGTGGTGGACGGAAGAGAGATAGAAACCAAGTCTTGCTTCCGTGCGGTAACGACGACACGACAGGCATTTTCTCCTTGCCCACCCCACCCCTCTAGATATAATATATAAACGAACGACCAGAAAAATCTATCCCATGAATGTTTAACTTGGTTTATTTGCAGTTTAGTTTTCCCCACCATTTCCATAACCCCCACTACCCAGGGACAAAAGGAAAAAGAACCCCCCCCCCCTCACATACCTAGAGCTACTAAAAACTGCACTGCAAAACAGAGTAGCAATCTGGACCCAGCAAGAGAAAAAACCAAAACCAAAGAAAAAAGCCGCGAGTACGAATAACGCACACAGCAAGATTAACATCCCCAGTCTTTATCAGCAACGCAGCAACAGCAGCAGCAACAGAAGGGTATTTACAAGCCCCCCAGGCCATAAAAAAACAAACGCCGTGGCTATGCAACGCAAAGCAAAGCATCACCGAAAACAAAACGAAACGAAAACTCAAGAGTTTGCAGAGGAAGAATCAGACTGAAGGAAAACTTGGGGACTCAAGCGGGATCGGCTAGGTAAATAAGGCCGCGAATGTATACGGTCGCGACGTCGGTGAGGACGAGAGGCGGACCGGACGGACAAGGAGAGGGCACCATCGTCATCCTTGTTGCTATAAAGAAGGGGGGGTTCTCATCAGTTCAAGCTGAAATGAACGCGGGGTGTGTATGTGTGTGTGGTGGTGGTGGTGGAGAATGTATGATACAGGTGCGAGGGAATGGAGGAGAAAGTATGCTGTGGGTTGTATGAGGTACTACCTCGCTACACGGTGGATCAACCTGATTTATGTGTTAGTTGAGTATTCCCGAAGAAACAAACGGGGTGAATATGTTACCTTAAAGTACTAATAGCGAAAGTGGCGATCCACGCAATGAGGGCAATAAACAGCGTAGCTGTCAAGCCCTTTTGTCTCTCGCATATGCTCTCTCTATACGGACAAGCATTGGCCCTATCTGAATCCACACATGCCCATTTGTCGTCGGTGAGTGCTTGAAAGGCCAGACTGAGGTTTGCAGATTCAAACACAATAAATGCCAAGTCCAAGAAGATTAGCGACATCTTAGCATTGTGCGAACGCAGACCCAGCGGCTTGGACGTGTATTCGTCATAGGTGATGTAGACGGTGTAGAGGACAGCGACAATGTCGACGAGAATGGCCATCCAGGTCGACGAGTTGGTGTTGCAGCCGTTGTTGTTGGAGTGCCGGTAGATGGAACATGCTAGGGAAAGAGCGAGGATGGAGAAGATGAGGACGCATGCGCGCACTAGGGCCGGCACCATGGGGTGGTTCATAGTGGTGTTGTGGAAGCGCACTAATCTGCGCTTTCTCTTCTCCGACGTAAAGAGCCAGAAGCCCTTGGTGTCTTCGATGCCATTGTCCTTGTCAATGGGCTCCCACTTTTGCTCCAGATCCGGCATGTTCTCCCTGAGCCAGTCATCGTCGACAATCTGGCCTCGCGACGAGATAGGCCGCTCGTGGTTGGAGCCGGCGGTAAAGTTCTTCCATTTCGGTGCGCTGTCGCTAACAGGCGTGCTCAGTGTCACCGGGGCGCCCTCGCGGGCATGGTCGAACTTGCGCCCTGGGACATTGGACTTTGGTGTAGGACAGAAGTTGTGGTTGGCATGACGAACGGTGGTTGGCGTGCGGGGGAGGAGGAAGGCAGTGGCGTCAATGCCTTCCTCCTCGTCGTCGGCGGATTGGACCCAGGGTGGGAGCGAACGGGCGGCACGCTGCCTCTCCCTGTTTTCAGCACTGGTGGTTGTACTCCGATGTGAAGACGCCAGCGTGCGCGGAGTACTGGATATCGACTGTGAGTGGCTCTTCCTGACTGGCAGGCCGTCGTGACTGTCTTTGGTAGCTTGCGAGTCCTTTGAACCTCCCGACTGGGCGCTGACTCTGGACTGCGGGCGATGTAACGAGTATGTGAGGGAAGAGGCCGTGGGAGGAGGAATAGGTGAAGGTAGTAATCTGTTTGCCGAGGACGTGGTCAACGTGGGCGATTGGTGTTGGGCCGGGTCCGGGCGAAGATATTGGTCGGTGGTGGGACCAGTGGCATTGTCGCAGCCATGGCCATTGTCGCTCGTTCTGGCCTCTCCCATGGGGTTACTGGTCATTCTTGTCAGGGAATGTGAGGGGAGTCCTCGTCGCACCAGCGGGTCCCTTTACCAAGCACGCGGCTGGGTGTCGCGCCTAGAAGGCGTGTCGGCCGTTCGGGCGTCGGTCGGCCTGCTTGGCGGTGAAACAGCGACAGCAGACGGTCGCGATTACGTGGGAGCAAAGTAGACGACACGCGATGACAGCATCTCCGGGGCGTTGGTGAGTGGCGGCTGGACAAGTGAGGCGGCGCGGCAGGCGAACAGGGCGGGTGATGACGACGGCGAGAGCGACAGCAACAGCAACAACGAAAGACGGGGCCACGGGGCAGTACGTCGAGGCGGAGACGTCGCGGGAGAGGGGGGTGAAGGTTGCTGTCGTGGTGCCAGTGTGATTTGGGGGCGTGTGGAGCGCTGGAGGCCCGTTCACATCAGCTACAGTACTCGGGAGATTGCTTGCTCGTCGATCAGGAAACAGGGATATGCGCGCTGGCGACGCTGCCAGATAGACTCAGCATGCTGAGGTCATGGGGCTGCAGCTTACTACTGTAGCTACCAGCTAGCCTACGTGCCCATGTAATTCCACACGGCTAACAAAACAATTTTGCATAGCGCGTCGTCTGCCCTGGCCCTTGTTTGATATCCTGTCAGAAACCCACTTCTCCGTCGACAACAGCGTCATGTCGCACACAAAGCCCGTTTGACCTAATCACTGTCACCTGGGCTCCTGCGCTTACCTAACCCCGACGAAACCACGACCATCATGCGCCTCTTCCTGCTGCCCATCTCCACCCGCCGCTCGCTCATCTACTGCGAGAAGCTGCACCAAAAGGCCCCCAAGGACCGCTCCTACTATGACAAAATCACCATAAAGGCCAGTGAGACGTGGGTCGGCTGGGAAAAGGACGAAAAGGCCATCTGGGACTGGAAGCGCAAAGTCACCTTCTACGGCAACCAGGCCCTGAAGCGGATACCGTACGAAGAGTGGGGGCTCAAGACGATACCTGCACTCACTGCCAAGCGGAAGCAGGACATTGTCGACGGCAAGGCCAGCTATGAGGTCCTGTTCCCGGGCAAGTACCTGCCGCAGGAACGTGTGTCGGGCCTGCTCGAGAAGTTGGCCAAGGAGCGACAGAACATGCACCGGACGAAGTTGATCTGGAGCGTCGTCATCATGCCCTTCACCGCGCCTTTTATGCTGGTGCCCGTCATTCCCAATTTGCCCTTCTTCTACGTCCTCTACCGCGCCTGGTCGCACTGGAAGGCGCTCGGCGGCTCAAAGCACCTCGAGTTCCTCCTCAAGCACAATCTGCCCAAGCCCCATCCGTCTGCCATTCTCGATGAGCTCTACACAGCTGGCCTCATGTACCCTACCCGCGCGCTTTCCCGTGTCGCCCCTCTTCCAACCCCGGAGCAGGCACAAGAGGTCGCCAACGTAGTCCATAGGCAGACAAACAACGAGACGGAAGACGTCATGGTCCTGCAGCGGTGGAACGGCAAGCTGATTGCCGAGAAGTTTGACCTACCTGAGATGGAGGTCGAAATCGAGCGTGCAGTCGGACAAGTGGAGGCGGCCATCAAATCCAAAGAAAAGCGTATCGAGGAGAAGCTCGAGCAAGAGCGAGCCACCAGCGGCAACACGGTACGGGCAAAGGACGTGCTACCCGAAGAAATTCTCGGGAAGATACATGAAAAGGCCGAACATGTAGCACACGAGGGCAATGAGAAGGCGAAGCAGGCGATGAAGTCGTAGAAGTTTTGAATGTTCACGATGTATGATATCATGGGATCAAGACGGCATATATAGAACGGGCGTTGGCGGCTCTGTCTGTACGATACCACGCAACGCATCTGTACGATTGCATGCATCACCAGGTTTAGAAATGTCATTATTTGCGTAGTCTTTGCTTTGACCGTCAACTACCCCTCACTCTTTCTTCTTCCCACCACACTTCTCCAATCTCTCCTTTCCCCACAACACCGGTCCATCATCTCCATACAGCGGATCCTTCTTGAACCACCCCACCTTGCCAACCGCCTTCGCCTTCGCCTTCTCCTCCTCCCCTGCCTCCCCATAACACATATCCCAATTACACCCCTTAGGATACGCCCCCACCATTTCAAACCCACCCTCCAAATCCTCCAGCAACCGATGTCCCACACCCGCCGGCACCACAATCGCATCTCCAGCCTTGACCTCCTTTTCCACTTTCCCTGGATTGGCTTCACCGCCGAAGAGCAGGCGGGCGCGACCGGAGAATACGCAAAGCACTTCGTGGGTGGTGCTATGGTAGTGCGTGGTTTGGTACATTGTGTAGCGCCATTGGGGTATGAGAGAGTTTTTGGGGAGGTGGGATTCTAGGACTGCTGGGAGTGTGTTTGAGGGGAAGGCGGAGTGATAGACTAGGAGGGGGTGATTGTGCGGGCTTGTGTTGGGGATGTGTGCATGGGAGGGGATGTAGTGGGCTGAGAGGCGGAGAGTTTGGAGGGGAATTAGGTTTACGGAGGGCATTGGGATGATGTGAAGAAAGTAATCTTGTATTGGAACTCGCTCAACAGCCACGTGATATATATGTCGTGTGAGATTGAAAACCTGAAGTCACGGAAGCAGCTATTATAACCATGTGGAATACCATGATACTCCAACTACGTCATCGTTTTGACAAGGCAATTTGCAGTAGAAAATCAACAATCGTGCTATCCGTCCATGTCAATTCAGACACTCTTTCTGAGAAGCACAAGTGGCGCCTTCATGATGCACCGCAAGAGCTATGATGTTGTATGCGGTAGCCTAAGCAGCTATGAGTGACGAAAAGCAAAGGGTGCGGGTCAGAGCGACTATGAAACGCTCAAGCCAAATCATACTGCAATCACTAATTTCAAACACAATTAAGAGCTTGTCGATGAGTGATTGTATACAACCGATTAAAGGCTCGCAATCCGATATTCGGATGATGGCATCGGGGAAAACTAGCGCAGGGCTGCCTGGGTAGTGACCCCGGTAGCTAACTAACCTTGTAACCGCCAAGGCCGGTGCTGCCTGACACTGAACTATCTCGACGTGACTATCAAAACGTCGCCGCCTCGCAGTTCTGGCGCCTTCACCTTCATCGCTCTCTTTGTGTAGTGCTTCGCCTTGACGGTCTGCGCACCTACCACTCTTTGCCGCAGTGGAATCCTCGGTACCTCTTAACCTCTCCCCACCCACCCACTACTGTACTCCCCTCCACTCAACGCCTCCCACATCACCAACCGACACGACTCCACCGCCTTCACCCACCTCTGCGACTGTGATTGTTGATACATCTTTGCCTGCCCTCCGACACGGCCTTTCCGACCATAAAGTTCCTCACGCGCAAGAAGTCGCCCCCGAAAAGTGCCCCAGAGCACGCGACGTCTCAACCCACCATGGCCTCCACAATGCCACCTGTGCCTGCAAAGGACGATGTGCACGCTACGTAGGTTCCATCTTCTTGTCTTTGCCTGACTCCGGACAGCTGCTAACTCCCCGTAGGTGGAAGTACTTAGAGGCTGGTGTGGATAAGATTATGACCAACCTGCGCGCCGGTGTCGACATGAAGACATACATGGGCCTTTACACCGCCATTCATAACTTCTGCACAGCTCAAAAGGCTGTTGCGGGGTCATCATTCCACGCCGCTAACAACCGTGGAGGCGCCCATCTTCTCGGCGAAGATCTCTACCAGCACCTGATTGAATACCTAAAGGCCCATCTCGCCCAAGTCCAGGAGGCGTCGCGGCAACATGTCGACGAAGCTCTCCTCCACTTTTACATCAAGGAGTGGAATCGGTACACGACGGCGGGGCAGTACAACAACCATCTCTTCCGCTACCTGAACCGCCATTGGGTTAAGCGTGAAATGGACGAGGGCAAGAAGAATATCTACGACATCTACACGCTGCATCTGGTGCGATGGAAGGAAGACATGTTCACAGGGAGCCAGGAAAGCGTCATGCGCTCAGTCCTCAAGCTGGTGGAGAAGCAGCGCAACGGCGAGACGATCGAGCAGTCACAGATAAAGTCGGTCGTCGACTCTTTCGTTTCGCTCGGTCTGGACGAGGCTGACAGCTCCAAATCTACCCTCGACGTATATAAGGAGTTCTTCGAGAAGCCCTTCCTAGAGGCAACCGCACAATACTACGATAACGAATCTAAGCAGTTCTTGGCCGAAAACAGCGTAGTCGAATACATGAAGAAGGCCGAGCTTCGTCTGGACGAGGAGAAGGAGCGCGTTCCTCTGTATCTGCTCAACGAGATCATGTCCCCATTGATGCGAACATGCGAACAGTCCCTCATCACGAACCACTCACAAGCCCTTCGGGAGGAGTTCCAGATACTACTTGACCACGATAAGGAGGAGGATCTTGGTCGTATGTACAAGTTGCTTGCCCGTATTCCTGAGGGCCTTGACCCTCTGCGTCTTCGATTCGAAAACCATGTCCGCAAGGCTGGCTTGGCTGCCGTAGATAAAATTGCTCAAGACGGCGAGAACATTGAACCCAAGGTGTACGTTGAGGCTCTCCTTGAGGTTCACACCCAGTACCAGGCACTTGTCAACAAGGCCTTCAACGGAGAGTCCGAGTTCGTACGTTCTTTGGACAACGCGTGCCGCGAGTTTGTAAACAGGAACAAGATCTGCAAGTCGGGCTCCAACAAGTCCCCCGAGCTACTCGCAAAGTACACCGACACGCTGCTGAAGCGTTCCAACGCGAAGATGAGCGAGGAGGATGACATGGAGAAGCTCCTCACACAGATCATGACCGTATTCAAGTACATCGAAGACAAGGATGTGTTCCAGAAGTTCTACTCACGTATGTTGGCCAAGCGTCTCGTCCAGACTACTTCTGCTTCAGATGATGCCGAGACGAGTATGATCTCGAAGCTCAAGGAAGCCTGTGGATTTGAATACACCAACAAGCTTCAACGCATGTTCCAAGATATGCAAATATCAAAGGATCTTAACACAGCATTCAAGGAGTGGCAGTCTAACAACCTGGACGAGTCGGACCTGAAGACCAACGTTGATGCGTCGTACCACATCCTTGGTACCGGTTTCTGGCCGCTTAACCCACCCACTACACCCTTTACGCCCCCACAACTCATTGTCCAGACCTATGATCGTTTCTCACGCTTCTACAACCACAAGCATCAGGGTCGTAAGCTTACGTGGTTATGGCAACTGTGCAAGGGTGAAGTCAAAGCCAACTACTGCAAGGTTGCAAACTTGAAGACTTCACCTACCTTCCAGGTGTCCACGTATCAGATGGCTATCATGTTGCTGTTCAACGATAGTGACACTGTCACCTATGATGAGATTGCCGAGGCTACCAAGCTCAATAAGGAGACGCTTGATCCTAGCCTGGGTGTCTTCATCAAGGCCAAGGTTTTGCTCCTACAGCCCGAGAACGCCAAGCACGAGTCCGGCACCACCTACAAGCTTAACACTGGTTTCAAGACCAAGAAGGTCAAGATGAACCTGAACATTGGTATCAAGTCTGAGCAAAAGGCCGAGGCGGAAGACACGCACAAGACGATTGAGGAGGACCGCAAGCTTCTGATTCAGGTTAGTACCACCATTTCTTACCTCATCCCCTCCGTTTATGTTGCAATTTACTTACTATTTCCCAGTCTGCCATTGTCCGCATCATGAAGTCCCGCAAGAAGATGAAGCACCAACAGCTCGTCTCCGAAACGATCCAACAGATCAAGAACCGCTTCATGCCGCGCGTCCCCGACATCAAGAAGTGCATAGATATTCTCCTCGAGAAGGAGTACCTGGAGCGTCTAGAGGCTGATGAACTCGGCTACCTGGCATAATCGAACAAAAAGCCAGGCTTATTCTTCGCCCGCCTGTTTAGAGACGCGGGTGTAGCCACCAGTTCGAGTTAATGAAATCATGGGCTTGATCTGCTTTCTTCCTTTTCCCCTTTTACCCTTTTCTTTTCACAAAGGTGGTGTCCGACGGTCCCGGAGTAAGTATCTCTTTCTTTCTTTCATCCGATCACACAAAACATTGCTTTTTTCGATCGATGTGTTATTATCATTCTGGCGTTTATGGAGGTTCAACTTTCGGGGCGGGCTATGGAGGGGAATTGTTTGCGGTCTTTTACCTTTGTATGGGGGTAAATGGGCGTGTATGGCTTCCTCTCTCTCTCTCTCTTCGAGATCATCATTGTGTCAACGCCGTGGTGCGTTTGGGATTTCTAGCCTGGTCTTTTGATGATGATGGTGATGATGACGATGGGGGATGGAAGGGAAGATGGATGAGATGGAGGGGTGATGCTAGGGAGAAAGGGGTCCTAAAAAGAATGGTGTTTTTCTCCATATTATTCTTGTGTCATCTTATTGTGCTGTGATGCCAGTGATGTTCAGTTGTTCAGGATAAGAGCAGAGTACTCTTTCCGCTGAAATATGTTATCATTCGCTTGGCTACTGCCTTCAATTCGTGTATGCTGATACTCAAATCACTTTTCCCCTTACTTATCCGCCACCGACCTATACCCTCAAGATGCAAAACCTGTCCTCGCTTTAGCGATACACAGAACCATGTCCATATCCATCACCGCGACCAAAGCTACCACCACGACGACCAAAGCTACGACCACCACGACCACCTCCACGACCACCTCCACGACCTCCACGACCGCCACGACCGCCACGACCGCCACGACCGCCACGACCGCCATTACCACCACCGAAACTACCACCTTGACGACTAACAGGGCGATAGGAATCATAATGGTACTGCTGAACATGGCTGCTGGTGTATCCAGCCTCGTACCTGTTGGCCCCATAGTGCTCACCGTGACCACCCTGTCCGTATTCATACCCATATCGAGGTCCATATCCAGACTCAGATTCATGACCGTAGTCCCCAACACGTCCATGACCATATCCAGACCCAGACCCAGATGCATGTCCGTAGTCTCTCACACCACCACCACGTGGCTCACCACGCGCCTCGTATGCTTCAAGATGATTATACGGCTCATGGAACTCACCACGCAACTCGCCACATGAAGCATACGGCTGTGGCTGCGGTGCTGTAGGAGGCTCTGCGTTTGCTACCGGGGCAGGCGTCGGTTCCCTAACCGGAGACAGGAGAGCGCGGAGGTTTGCTGTTGTAAGAGGCAACGCGAGAGACTGGTCGTTGGTTGTCGTCGTCGTTGGAGTCAAGACAACTCCACGTGCTGTTGCCCTCTCCTCAGCCTTCTTGATCCCCATCGTGAACGCTTCACCTATAAGGTCCTGCATAGCGACAAACGGGAAGGTAAAGATATGTTGAAGTCGGATCTTATACTCCATTGTGACTTCCTCGGTGTCCATGTTGATATTTAGGTGTGACCGCTTCTTGTTCCCACTGTCCATGTCTTGCACCGACGTCGATGTGGTGATGTTCTCGTCCATAGGCCTAGTCTTGAATTCGCCCTTCTCCCTCCACTCCATCAATGAAAGATAGTCCAGGTTCTGTGGTCCATATGGCTTAAGCGGCACCTGGAGCACGCGCGACAGTGCCTGGGTGTGCAAGACGTTGAACTGCAGCGGCGGGTTAAACGTATCGCGTACACTCTTGTACCAAGCCAGACACTCGGTGAGTACTCGAGCGTCGAGTCCCGAAGGGAAATGACGCAGACCGCGCAAAAGATCATCGTACAACGGTATAGTAAACGTGCCGATGCGGTCTACAACAGATTTGCCCGGCTCAATATGTGTCATAGAGAGGTCAGGGTCGAGTCGGCCTTTGTAGGAATTGAGCTTGAACTCAGGGTACACGACCTTTGCTGCGTCTCGCTGATAAAGATTCATCTTGCCGGCGCTGATGTGATGGTCTGCGGGACCGCGAAAGAAAGCCTACATAGGACAGAGGTGGTTAGCTGTGGTCTTCGAGGAGGGGGTAGAGGGGAGATGTGTGTAGAGAAACTGTTACTTACTTGCATGCCTATGAAGTCGATACCACGGTAGTCATTGTCTGTCA